GAGCGTGGAGCATTTACTTCTCTTGAACCTTTTGCGGTTCTCCAGAATCTCTGCATAAGACTTCTTAATGTTTCTGGTACAAGGGATGAGAAGGGACCTTCTCTTAAGAATCTATCAATACATAAAGCTTTGAATAATCTCACTGTTCCAGCTAGCCCAGTATGCTTAAAAACTCCTTTTTTTCTTTCTGCTCTCTAATGCTACGGATGCTACCAAAGAAGTGATCTCATGCAATTCGACTGATGTCTCCTACATTGTTAGCCAATGTTGGAATGGTTCTGCTAATATAGCAGTAGTGATGAGGATGCCTATGTATGTTCCTATTCCGGTCAAAGTGGATACAGGAACGTTTCCCATTACGGAAATCATCAGAACCAAACGGGATTTTGGCATAACTGCAGCATTGGTTACTGCCATTACCCTTTCAGCGGCTACAACTGCCGCAGTTGCCATGGCTGCTCAGGTCCAATCAGCTGAGACAGTCAATAACATTGTGGAAAAAACAGCTACAAAATTAACTACCTTGAGATCTATTGATGGCCACTTAAAAGCTGGCATTCTAACTGTGAACCAAAGAGTGGACCTGTTGCAGGAACAGGTGGATGATTTAGTAACCTTAACTTCCATAGGATGCATTCATTCCTTTTCTTTTTTGTGTATCACCTCCAGGATGGCCAGCAATTTCACGGAGAACAGCAACCTGAGTTGGCAGCTGAGTGCCTTCCTGCAGGGAAATTGGAGTCAACAGTTCGAGAACCTGACAGACACCCTGACACAACAGATTATTGCCGTGAATGCTACACGCCTGAGCCTGCCCACTGTTAATACCCTCTTAACTACCCTTAAGCGAGCCTTTAGTTTAGTTAAGGAATGGGCTGGAGTAGGGGTTATGTTTTCCATGATGCTGTTGGCCATTTTTGTTTGCCTGTGGTGCCTATGTAGGGTCAGGAAGTCACAAAAATCCCAAGCTGCCATGTTGGTACAGGCCTTTGTTGCTGTGGAAGCAGGACAGTCCCCTCAAGCATGGTTATCCATGCTGACAGACAAATAGATGTCTGTCTCGCCCTTGCTGGATGCGTATCTGAATCAGTCATGCTCAATGACAGGCACCTACCCTCTTGCTGAGCGAATAAGCATACATGTGTTCCCTTCAACCTAAGACATGAGCCTGTGAGGGCAACACAGTGACTCTTTGACGGTAAGATAGGGACACTGGGGTTGAACCTAAGACAGAGATGACTGAAATCTGACAACAGATAGATACTGCTACTCCTATAATATTAAAAAAAAAAGGGTTTCCGCCCTCTGCCAGCCCGACGGCGAGCGCTCTCTCTGTGGTAAACAACTCCAAATTTGGTAAAGGTCATGTATCCTCTTAATTCTGCTTGGAGACAACCTATCCTGGCACGCCACATAGGGTTAGGTGATTGGTAGATGTAGACTATATCAGGCCCCGTCTCCCTCGACCCGGGGCCGCCGCCATTATGCACTGTAAAGCAAAGATGTTCCTGATTAAACTGTGTTGAAGAAGATTCCTCGGTGTGGCGTCATTCTTGCTGGTCAAGGGTGCCACACCTAATATATACAGACAATAAATGGACTGAGAAAGAAATCAGAGAAACATCACCCTTTTTAATAGCTATAAACAACATAAAATACCTTGGGGTAATGCTTACCAAACAAATAGAAGACTTATATAAGGAGAAGTTTGAGTCTTTAAAGAAAGAAATTAAAGAAGATACCAGGAAATGGAAACATCTACTATGTGCTTGGATAGGTAGAATCAACTTAGTAAATATGGTAATATTGCCAACAGCAATCCCCATCAAAATCCCAGCACAATTCTTCACAGACCTTGAAAGTACAATACTCAACTTTATATGTTAAAACAATAGACCCAGGTTAGTCAAAACGACCCGGTACAATAAAGAAACTTCTGGAGGCATCACCATCCCAGACTTCAAGCTCTACTACAGAGCTATAATCCTGAAAACAGATTGCATTGGCACACAGACAGGTAGATCTTATGGAATCGAATTGAAAACTCTTATATAGATCCACACATGAACGAATGCCTGATTTTTGACAAACTAAAATTATACAATGGAAAAAAAGAAAGCATCTTCAACAAATTGTGCTGGCATAACTGGATGCAGGTGTGTAAATGACTGCAGATAGATCAATATCTATCACCATGTACAAGACTTAATTCCAAATAGATCAAGGACCTTAACATAAATACAGCCACACTGAACCTCTTAGAAAAGAAAGTAGGAGGTACCCATGAAGAATTGGTACAGTAGACTGCTTCTTGAACATAACACCAGTAGCATAGACACTGACATCACAATGAATAAATGGGACCTCCTGAAACTGAGAAGCTACTTAAGGCAAACGACACAGTCAACAAGACAAAACAGCAGCCTACATAATTGGAAAAGATTTTTACCAACCCCACATCTGATAGAGAGCTGTTTTCCAAAATACACAAAGTACTCAAGGAGCCAGACACCAAACATCAAATAATCCAATAAACATGGGGGTACAAAACTAAATAGACAGTTCTCAATAGAGAAATCTGAAATGGCTTAAGGACACATAAAAGTTCTCAACATCCTTAGCCACCAGGGAAATGCAAATCAAAACAACCCTGAGATACAATCTTGCTCCTGTCAGGATGGATAAAATAAATAACACCAATGACATTTTATGCTGGACAGGATGTGGAGAAAGGTGAACACTCCTCCACTGCTGGTAGGAGGGCAAACTCATACAGCCACTATGGAAAACAATATGTCGGTTCTTCGGGAAAATGAGAATCAGTCTACCACAAGTACCAGCAATTCCACTTTTAGGCATATACCCAAAAGATCCACATTCATACAGCAAGGACATCTGTTCAACTGTGTTCATAGCAGCATTATTTGTAATATCCAGAACATGGAAGCAACCCACATGCCCCTCACCTAAAGAATGGATAAAAAAGAATGTGGTACATTATACAATGGAGTGCTACACAGTGGATAAAACAATGGAATCTTGAAATTCACAGGCAAATGAATGAGATAACCCAGTCACAAAATGACATACATGGTATGTACTCACTCATAAAAGGATTTTAGACATAGAGGAAAGGATTACCAGCCTACAATCCACACTACACAGATAAACTAGGAAACAAGGAGGATCCTAAGAGAGACTTACATTGTCCTCCAGAGAAGGGAAAAGGGACAAGATCAACTGAACAAATTGTTAACATGGGGGGAAGGGAGAAGGAGTTAGGAGAAAGAGTAGGAGAGAAGAGGAAGGGAGAGGAGAACATGAGGGGGAAGAAAGATTGAGTCAGGAGAAGAATAGAGGGGAGCAAGAAAAGAGATACCATAGCAGAGGGAGCCATTATAGGTTTGAAGAGAAATCTGACACTAGGGTAATGTCCAGAGATCTACAAGGATGACACCAGCTAACAACCTAAGCAATAGTGAAGAGGCTACCTTACATGCCCAGCTCTGATAATGAGATTGATGACTACCTTATAGCCATCCTAGAGCCTTCATCTAGTAGGTGATATAAGCAGAAGCAGACACCTGATGGGAAATGTACTGCTGTGTATGTTCATATTATTGATTGTTGAATAAAGTACTGTTTGGCCAATGAGGAAGCAAGTTAGGCAGGACTAGGAGTCAAGGAGGATTCTGGGAAATGTAGTAAAGAAGTTGGATACAGGCAGGAAATGACATAGCAGGCAGACTCATTTAAGAAAGCACAAGCAGGAAGTTGCCCCTTTTCCCTTGTCTCTTCTTCCTGGTCTCTGCTCTGGAGTCACAATGTGATCCGCCGTAAAGAGAGGGTACCAGTAGAAGGCATCCTGTATAAGTTAAGTCTTATAAAATATATATTTATGATAATTAAGACTGAGCTATCAGATGAGAAATCCTAGTCACTGGTCAAGCAGCATTTGTACCTAATATAAGCATCTGTGTGTTACTTGGGATCTTAACGTGGTACTGGCTTAACTTGGTGGCCTGGCAGAAAGAGCCCATGTGGAATCAGGGCTCAGGTAGCTTTGGAGTAAAGACTTATTGTTACAGAATGATGTCAGGGAGTAGGATCACCCCAGGCTCTGAGGTTCCCAGAGGAAGCAGAGAACCTGCCACCTCAGCCTGTCCTGCTGGGCCTCTGATCAGTATCAGAGCAGCTTCCATATGCTCGAGCTTTCCTGTGCTCTTGGGGGTTCAACTCAGGGCTCCTGAGATGGCCTGCAGCCCTGAAGAGTTCTAGGGTTAGGATTCTGAGCTCTCACCACCATGAGGTGCCTTCCTGTGACTAGTCAAGCAGCGGCAGAACCCAGGCAGCTGGCAGTAGTGTTATGAACTGCCATATAAATTTTAGAAAAAGTCAAAAGGGGATTTTAGCAGCAAAAAAATAGAGACAAGCAGGACTTCTTGGTAACAGCATTTTCTCTGGTGGTCTCTGTTTTGTAGAGACAAGCAGATACTTGGTTCCTTTAAGAGAGGTTTTCTGACTCAGCCTAAGCAGAAAAAACAGAAGGCCTCACTTTTAAGAGGCCCAGGTAGCTCAGTTGGTAGGGCATGAGACTTTTGATGTGGGTTCTGCCCCATGCAACTAAACAGTGGCAGTGACCACATCTCAAAGCCTGCGGCATGCTCTTCGGAAGAAAGCCTCCACTTTAATTTTGGCGATGTTGTTTAACAGTTAAAAGAGTGTGTGGCCAGAAAAGGGTAAAGATTTATAATAAAGATAGAAATAAA